TCATGCAAACAATACGCGAAGACTCAAATACAAACTATGACAAAATCTTTCTAGATATAGGTTACCTGAGATGGGCGACCAGAGCCCAAAGGCAAAAAGGACATGGGAAATTTACAACATACTAGGTGAACATGAGGCAAAGATGCAACAACTTGAAGCAGAGGGCAAGTTACCAAAAGCGACACCAAAGAAGAAGAGAAGAGTAGAACAAAGTGAAAGTAGTGAAGAAGTAACTTCATCTAGTGAAAGTAGTGGCAATGAAGGAAAAAGAAGAGTTAAAAACTCAGTCAGGAAGAAAGTAAAGCTTGGTCCGAGTGGGTTCTATTATGACATATAAATCCAACTATTCTATATTTTTACCCATATGAAATGTACGCCGCTCAGAATATAACGCCAACAGTTTTGGATGCCATGAATGGAAATGTTTCGAATGGTATAACGAATGCGACAATGCCATTAGAAGGTCAGAAATAGTTCCTGGAACTTACGAATATACAACTGCTGTTTCTTATGGAAACGTAGGTGAGTTTGGAGAAGGTTCTTCAACAACAGTAGATATTGCTTGCGACAGGTTTCATATTATTTCTATTGACAACTCTTTCTTATACGTGGAACAAGACATTGAAATAAAACCTTCTGCCAAGTTGTCTGAAAAGAAAGGTTGCAATGGAATTTTCTATGTCGGATACCAATATGCTCCAGAAGTTTTCATGGGATATAAGATATATTCTAACTCTGACTTAGTTCAAACAGTAACATGGGCAAACTATGAATGGTTCGCTTTAAGAAACTCAGTACAACCACAAGCTAGAGAACAAACAGACCAGTATGCAACTATTGAGAAAATAAGAAGACTTGACCCTAACGTTCCAGGAGTTTATGTTAACCTTTCTGGTTCAGATGGAACTGCTGCCACTAAAGTAAAACTGAAACTTAGAGTTCCTTTGTCATCTTTCCTCATCTTCAGGTTTTTAAGATACTTGCCAAACTGGCAGGAAAAATTTCTATCGAACTTACTCCAAGCAAAAATAACTTAGTCATTGCACCAACACAAGACCCATTCACTCTTACAGACGTAAAGGGAACAAATAAAACGTCATTCGCCGAATTTTGCAAAGACAAAGTTGACTTAGACTTTGGTTTCTCAAACCTCAACACTGAAGTAAACTATTATTTCAATGCTGCTGGAGATGCTTGGGACCCAGTTAAGTTCACATGCGAAAAATTTGAATGCAAGAGAATAGAAAGCAGACTTGCAGTCTATATGTTGGACCCAGATATTTCAAATGCTTTAGCTGCCAAATATATTGCAGTTCCACTTATGTTCCCTATACACCAAATATCTGTCAAAGACTTTGCAGGTGAAGTTGGAAACCAAAGTGCTGACCCAGGTGCAAGAACAGATATTGCCTTAACAACTGCAATGAAACATGCAGATACTATGTTTGTTCTTTTCAGACGAACTATAAATGACTATTCTTGTTTCTACAACCCTGGTATTAAATATCATATAAACATAGATGGCAAATATTATCCAAGAGAAGAATATTCTACAGTTGAGGATATGAGGTCATACAACTTGACATTAGATGCTATGAACTTTAACAACAACTTCACAACAACCATTAACCCTGAAATGCAAAGTTCTATTATGCCATATGTGAAAGTATGGACCCATACAGGAGGTCAAAAAACTCAATATACAAATGGAGACCGTTCAAACTTTTGGCTTGGCATTCCATTTGCTGACTCAGAAGACTTTATGGGTGGTATTTCAACTGTTGGTACAGTTCAAATACAATATACTGGTGACAGAGACGGTCCAGATGAATTGAAAGCAAAGAAGTTTACAAAACCAATAGCACTTTTCACGGAAGATGCTCTTTTGAAAATTCGTTCGATGAAACCTGCTGGGGCTCCTCAGATTGGCATAACGACAGCTTCCATCGAGCAGATTTTGGCAGCAGGTCAGTAAGTTGTTCTTGAACTGACTTCTCTCCGTCAAATATTGACAGTACGCCAGTTTTGACATAATATTGTATTATAAACTTTCCTTTAGAAATATCTGTAAGTTTTGAAGTTATATTTTTGTCTGCTTCAAGAACTTTCACCATTTCAGTTATACCAACTTTCTTTGCTTTATGAAATATTTAGGTTCAGCAAAGACTGCTATTCTATAACATTTTCCATTGTTTGTGTAAAGAACTATTCTGTCAATGTATTTGTATTGTTTGTGTGTGTAAACTTTGTTTTGCTTCAATTCGAAGAGATATCTGAATACGTCCATCTTTTTATTCTAAGTAAAATGTCATTTCCGAAAAATAGAAGTGTAAGTGTTTCAAAAGGTTTAATGGCGGTGGCAGATGTGAAGTTAAATTCACCAACTCAAACAAACAGTCAAAGTGTTGTTGTCAATGTCAAAGACAGAGATGTTGAAGTGGGGAAACCATACGAAGACGAAGATGGTATAACAATAGTTCCTGTAAAAGAACAACCAACATATCCTGAAGTTAGCAGAGACTTAAGTTCTGTTGCAGATATTCGAAACGACTACCAACAACTGAAAGACAAACTTAAAACTCAGGAGAAGATTTGTCAAGCTTTAAGTATAATGTTAAACTTGGTCGAACACAACCCTGTAAAAGTGAACTCATATGTCATTGCACCTCATGAAGTTTTGAAAGAACTATTGAAACTTTTGACAGAGGCAGACGATATAAACATCAAAGAAATAGAACCCGACATTAGTTGCTGTGGTGTTTCATATAATGTCATTGACAAGATATACGTTATGAAAGGAGGTGAAACGTTGAACTTAAAATATAGTTTCCCAGACGTTATAAAAATATTTGACGACCACAACATTTCATTAAAATTTATTTGCTAAGTAAATGGCAGAAGACATAATGGTTTATACTATTACGACTAAAAACCCTGAGTCATATAATTCTATAACAACAAACTTACAAAGTCCTCAAGGACGATATTGTAAACTAACCTTAAACACAATGACGACTAAAGCCTGTTTTGCTCTTTTGACACCAGAAGACTTTATTGTTGTGAATGGTAAAAAATACTCCTTTGAAGATACTTACTCAGATATACCACCAACAGGTTTTGTTGACTTATTTAATACTTTAAGGACGGGTGTAACATGTGCTGCAACTAGAGCAGGTTTCATTATGTTTGGATGTCCGACTGAGTTTACTATAAACGATATGAGTTATAATACAAAACTTATATCTGGTTTTTACTACCAACAGTTTCCTATAACAGGAAAAGGTGTCATACAAGGAATGTCTGTTCCATTGACTTTAAGCACACCAATCTTATATATTGTTTCAAACTTAGGTTCAAAGTGTTATTCGAATGTCGACAGAAACTATTATGACCAAAAGATACTTATGCGTATAAACAATACTTTCTCTGCTGGTTTGCCTATTGTTCATTCGAATGCAGAGTTTTCAGCTTTAGTAAACTCAAACACTTTAGCAAACATAAACTTAACCTTAGTTGACGCAAACTTTGTTCCTGTAAAACTTTTATGTCCTATGTATTTGTCAATGACGGCAGAAAGTTTCGAATTGGAAGATGCAACTGGTGAAAGTATTGTATTACAAGAACAACTTCAACAACAAATAGCTCAAGAACAACAAATGCAACAAATGGAACAAATGGAACAACAAGCTCAAGAATAAAAAAATTTTTTTTTATTTTTATAAAAAAATGTACAGAATAGATGTTTCAGATTTTTATGACTTCCAAGCATTCAGAAATATGTGTCCATTTCGAGACTATAACAAAGCAGTCGAGAATTTGAAACGTTTAGTCATTTATGTTGACTCTGCCCCAGAATGTTATGTCATGAAAGAATGGGATGTTGTCTTTAACAAACCAAGAGCAACAATAGTGTCTGAACAAGAATGTAGACAGAAACTTAAGAAAATAAAAGTTGTACAAGTTGGAAGGAAGATGTTAGATGCTTGGGATATCTTATTGTCAAAGTTAGAAGATTTTTCAGTTCGAGGTATAAAGTTCTATACACCATCTCCAAACTTCTATTCTATCTTCACTGGATATAAATACGAACAAGTAGAATGGACTTTCAAAGTTAACGCTCCAGAGGATCATAATAAGACAAAGTTACTTGTTGTTGTTGAGTTCGCCGCCAATCATAAATCCAACTTAGGTACCGGTAATGTTACATATTCTTCCACAGTCCCACACCAGTTATCGAGAGTGTTCAATACAACGATGGCAACGAAGTAATTTCAGGCAATCCATACACAGCCAAAATCATACTCGAAACAGGCTTAAAATTACAAAGACATATTATCTCTTTGCAACAGAAAGCGAAGCTTCCAACGCCTCTGCCACTAGCGTCAAATCACAAAATGTTCACTGCAACAGCCGTAGCAAGCGAACAAGAAAGAATGGACTTTCAAAGTTAACGCTCCAGAGGATCATAATAAGACAAAGTTACTTGTTGTTGTTGAGTTCGCCGCCAATCATAATCCAGTTAGGTACCGGCAATGTTACATATTCTGACACACTCTCCACACCAGTTATCGATAGAGTTCTTTACAACGATGGCAACGAAGTAATTTCAGGCAATTTATACTCAGCCAAAATCATACTCAAACAGGCTTAAATATTACAAAGACATATTATCTCTTTGCAACAGAAAGCAAGCTTCCAGCGCCTCTGTCACTAGCGTCAAAACATCACAAAATGTTAGCACTGCAACAGCCGTAGCAAGCACGAACAAGACAGAATGGACTTTCAAAGTTAACGCTCCAGAGGATCATAATAAGACAAAGTTACTTGTTGTTGTTGAGTTCGCCGCCAATCATACATCCGAGTTAGGTACCGGCAATGTTACATATTCTGACACACTCTCCACACCAGTTATCGATAGAGTTCTACAACGATGGCAACGAAGTAATTTCAGGCAATTTATACACAGCCAAAATCATACTCAAAAGCTTAATATTACAAAGACATATTATCTCTTTGCAACAGAAAGCAACGCTTCCAGCGCCTCTGTCACTAGCGTCAAAACATCACAAAATGTTAGCACTGCAACAGCCGTAGCAAGCACGAACAAGACAGAATGGACTTTCAAAGTTAACGCTCCAGAGGATCATAATAAGACAAAGTTACTTGTTGTTGTTGAGTTCGCCGCCAATCATACATCCGAGTTAGGTACCGGCAATGTTACATATTCTCTTGGAAAGTCTCCATATTTATCTGCGCCAACTGTTGTTGCTGAAAATCATACAGGACCATTCAAGGCCGGTGAATATATTCCAGTTAAAGTTACATTACAACACTTTGAGGCAAAGACAGGAAACTTCCAATATAGATTCTATGCAGATCAGAAATGGATAGATCTCCCAGACGACAATGTAACTGAAGTAGAAACCCCATCTGCAATTAAGAAATTACATGCCGACGAAGGCAAAACATATCTACTCAACATTCCAGCTCCAAAGTATGAAGATATCAAAGAAGATGGGAAAGTTAAACTTCAAATTAGGTTAGCTGGATCCAAAGATCAAGCTCAATCCAATATCATTGAAACAGAGGTTTCACTTCAGAAACAACAATACGTTGCACCAAGCCCTGATGATTCCAAGCCAACTCCAACACCTGAAAATAGTGGACTTACTGGTGGACAGAAGGCTGGTATTGTTATTGGCGTTCTTCTTGCTGTTATCCTTATTATTCTCATCATCTACTTCGTTTTCTGCAGGAAACCATCTAAAGATAAATCATCATCTGATATCCAAGATGATTCCGGCTCCGGTGTTAATGTGTAATTTAATTTAATTAAGGATGTCAATTTGGAAGAAAAGTGAGAAAATTCCTAAAATGCTAAAAATGAATTTTCCAAACGTACTTTTTTATCTCATTTTTTTGATTTTGAAAAAAATTTGGAGAGAAGAACTCTTCGTTTTTGAATTTTGTCACGATGGTTTTAAAGTATAGGGTGTCCAAAGGTGTGTTTAGCACAAACCTGAATACTGCGAATAGAAATAAACAAGTTACATATATATAAAGTTTATTTAAATATAATCACCATTGGATTCAATCACGCGTTCGCAGCGATCGATCCAGGCTTGAAAGACACGCTTTAAATCATCATGAGAAAATTGCTCAAATTGCTCTCTTACAAAATTTTCAAGATCATCTGGACTCGCGAATTCGCGTCCTTCAGCTCTCTTTTTTAGCGTGCCGAATAAATAAAAGTCAGAGGGTGCAATATCAGGTGAATAAATTGGGTTTGGAACAACTTTGACATTGTTTTCCACCAAGTAATTCATTACCTTATGACTTTTGTGAACTCTTGAATTATCAAAATGAATTGCAAACTTTTGTTTTTGTTGTTTGGATTTCTCAAACTCATCAGAATTGATAATTTGAGTAAGAACATTGTCAATTAGATACTGAGCATTCATCGTATTAGGTTTTTGAAGAATATCAATTGCGATGATGTCATTTACGCCCCAAAAAACCGACAACATCATCATTGGTGTGTCAATTTTTTTCTTCGGGAATGTTTGCGGATTTTTCTCGTAAACGAAAAAGGGGATTTGACGGAGTCAAATCCCCGCTCGCAAAAAGTGGACTTTACATGTCAAATTTTATATGCATGTAATGTCCACTTTTATGAGTTTTAGGAAGGAATTGGAAGCCATGAGTTACTGACATTTCATCAGTATCTCATAGCCTCCAATTCCTTCTTAAAATGGGAGAAACTTTGTCCGAATAGTTTAACATTCGGACAAAGTTTCTCCCATTTTAAGAAGGAATTGGAGGGTAAGAGATATACCATATGAATGTATATCTCTTACCCTCCAATTCCTTCTAGAAAGTGTCCAAACTTTGGGTTAATTGCAAACTATTAACCCAAAGTTTGGACACTTTCAAGTGGAGATGGAAGGCTTTGGGGTATATATTAATACAATATACCTCAAAGCCTTCCATCTCCACTACAAATGGGAGAAACTTTGTCCGAATAGTTTAACATTCGGACAAAGTTTCTCCCATCTTTCAATGTAATTGCTACCTGTGAGGTACTGACTTGAAGTCAGTGCTTCACAGGTAGCAATATCCAAAAATTTAAAAACATTTTATCAGTTCGTTAAAGAACTAGAGCCTCCTAGGTACTGAACCAGAATCAGTGCCTAGGGGACTCTAGTGATCTATATAAATCTGAGAAACTTTGAGGAAATTGTTCGACATTTCCTCAAAGTTTCTCAGCAATTTAGCGAGGAATGTTCGTTATCGTGTAGATATTTATAATATATACATGATAACAAACATTCTCCGCTAAAAGATGTAAAATCTTATAAGAAATGATTGCAAAAGAATAACAAATTGCAACAAATTTTATATGAAACTGAACCTTATGAGGTAGTGATTCAAGATCACCGCCTCATAAGATTCAGTTTCAATCTCAAGTATCTCAAAAGTAAGGCTCTATTTTTTGCCATGTAAAGTGTCACTTTACTGTCAAACCGTTTTTATCGTTTTCGTTTACAACATTTTCATCCTTCGGGATCCATATGATTTTGGCTTCTGTTGCATATTGAAACCAAGACTCGTCCCCTGTTACTAAAAAGCGAAACTTCTTGGATTGATACGCACCCAATATAGAGAGGAGCTCTTTCGAAGATTGGACTCTAGATTTTTTTTGAACTGAATTAAGGTTGTGCGGAACCCAACGTGTATACGCTAGTTTGTAGTTCAAATAATTGTGCAGATAATAACTGACTGTTGTACGTGGTATCTTTGTCATCTCCTCTATCCTTCTAAGTGATGCTCTTGGGTCTTCATCTAGCGCTTGAAGAATTGCTTTGATTTTTCTTTGATCCGGCGATTTTTTGTCAATTTTTATGATGGGCGCCTTTTTGTTCATGAAGTGATACATCCTAACATGATACGTTACAGTGGAATAGCTAGGAGCATCCATACCGAAGCATTTTACCAATGTCTCGTAGATTTTTTTACAGTCTTTGCATTTTTTGCAAGAGCGAGGATGTTTTCTTTATGATTCATTAAAAAAATGAAAAAAATCCCGCCAAAATTTCCCGCGAAACCGCCTCTTGTCTCAAAATTCATTTTATATCCCGGCATGGCGCCAAAATACAACATACTCATCATATACATATATTCATATTTTTTATTATATATTTATAATCAGCATATATCTCCTTTAATAGTCTCATATAGAGCGCTGTGCTAAACGCACCTTTGGACACCCTATATATTATACACATGTATTGATATTACTATTTTTGTATATTTTAAGAGAAAATTATATTCTCCTAAAGTGAAAACAATTTTCCAAATTGCAGCTCCTTCAAAGATTTCTGAAGACTCAACGGTTAAAATTACAGTTTCTATCACAGATCCAGCTGGTCAAACTGCTACCTCTTTATATTAATATAATATTTATTTTGATATATTTTTTAGTTTAACTTTTTTTTTTGATAAATATTTTATTTTATATTTTAAACCCTTTATTTTTTAATTAAATCATGTCTTGTAAATCAAATTACAACATGGCAAACTTTTGATTCGATATATATAGTTTACGTAACAAGTGATAGCTCCATTAGAAAGCTGAGTTTTGAAAATTACAATACATAGCATATCATTTCCAGACTTTCCCACTTTATTTTTTTTTTATTTTTTTTTAAAATGTTTCGTAATTTCAGGATGCTTTTCCCCTTTAACTTTGTTAAATGCGTAATTTTTTTCTATCTGACAACTGGCTTGAAAGATCATTGAAAATGCGATATAAACAATTTCATTTTTTTTCGACTTTTTTTTATAAATAAAGAAAATAAATATACAAATAAAATTATTTCTTAATTATTTTGTCATATTTGACAATTATATCCTGTCTCAAAGTATCCAAATCCGCAAACTGTGTTGCGTATCTCGAAGTGTCTTCGTCGTACGGCTTAATTACATCAGCCCTATCCAAGAACATCATCAAATGAAACGCGAGAGCTTTGTATTTTATCTGCATCAAAATTGCCAAAGCAGGATGGAAATCTCTTATTGATATGAACAGCAACAAAGCGTTCATTGCATTTCCAGTATCCAAGAAGTGGTGGGCGGCTCTTCTCAACAAACTCTTCGACTCATTCGAAAACTCTTCCAATTTGCAGACTTCGACAGAATCTTCCCATCTTCCGTTGTCCTGAAGATATCTTGCGGCAGAAAGATTAGCGCCAGCTAAATGCATCAATATACAGCCTTCTATAAATCTGTGCTGTGCAAAAAGTGGAACAGCGGTTGTTATCAAAAATTCTGTCACGTTTTGTGGCAAAATTTTATCTTCGTAACCGAGAAGCAACGCCGAACAAATGCTTGCCACTATTGTGAACTCGCTTTTGTTGGAGAGACTCTTGAAAACTTCGACAGCTCCTCTTCTATCACCCATTCTGAACTTGAACAACAAGTTGAAAATGGCAGAAATCGGAGTATCTGCAGGAGAAAACAGAGAAGATTGAATCCTCAACGCGGAAACAACTTCTTCTTTCCCTCCAAACATGGAATGCCGTGCTTGCAACCTCGGACCTCCCAAACTACGTGAAACACACTTCCAAATAATGGAATCAGTTGGAAATCCATGGTCATTAGCTATCTCAGCTATTTGAAGTGCTTCTGACCATGTTCCTGTAGTAGGATTCGTTAATAATTGCTCACCCATAAGCTCTAACCGTTGCTGGGCGGTTTTTAGCGGTTTTAAGAGGGCAGGTGAAGTGATTCTTTTTACAGATCTCCAGTCTCTTGCAATAACGAATTTCACGGCTTCGTCATTGAGCGGGGAGACGAGGACGAGTCCATTTCCTGTTACAGCGAATGAGGAAACAGAAAAAGGACAACTTTCCACTTTTTCAAGTGAAAAACCAAATTTTCCGTCTCTCGCGTGTACGTACAATCCGCTGGATGATCTCTCGAACTCTATCCTGTCTATGTCGATGAAAGGAGAGTATGTTTGCTTCGATGTACCGAAAGCAAAGTCGTAAAACATAATTACGCCGTCTGTGTCAGCAGTTATGATGCAATCGCCTTTCCAAGCAAGACAAGTTGTCCTGGAGTTCTCCCGTGAGTTACGCAGCCTCAGAACAGGCATCTGTGCTATGCCGTTCTTGTATGTGTAGACTTGGATTTCTCCGGTAGATAATAATACGGCGAAATTGGGAGTATCGCCTTGGAAACATGTTGCTGGTATTCTGGATACTTGGACTGCAACAGCGGTGATGGATGTTTGAAGAGTCATCGGCTTTTGTTTGACATCATAAAAAAACCAAGGTCGTATTTGCCGTGGACGAAAACGCCGAGCTCCTCTGAACATATTAGGTCTGTGGCAGGGCCAAGGCGAGTGTGGATTGGAATAACTTGGCGCTTGGGAAGATTTATTGATCCACACTCGGTTTTTGAGTACCACAGAAGGACATCTTTGGTAAGGAACTTGATCTTTTCAATGGATGTGCTGGATGCAAGGTAGTTCTGTGTGTATTTCCCTTCTGAAACGTCTGCGAAAATTATCTTTCCGGTTGGAGTGCCGAAAGCAAGGATTCCGTCGTAGAAATCGTAACAGGTTGGTATCTGTGGTATAATTTGAGACTGCGCGATGACGTAAGGTATATCATCTTTTATGGCAAACATAACTAAGCCATTTGATGGAGAGAACGCGATGTATCGCTCGGGAAGTGCACGGTTACATGCAGCGGATAGTGGTAAATACTTCGATTTTAAGTCAAACAGCTCTCTTTTCAATTTTATTGTTCCTGATTTTGTAAAAATGTAGTCTTCGTTACAGATATAGATACTGAGTGACGAGTCTTGACCATAAACTGTAATTTCGTTGTCATTTGTTAAAGAAGGAAGCAGTTTATGGAAAGATGATTGGGATGATTCATCGATTACAAGATTTCGGCCAGATTTGGTCGCTATGTTAAACGTAAGTATTTTTCCTTCAAGCATAATTAATAAAATATTACTAATATGGGGATGATGTTGAATTTCTACGATTTTTTCTGATTTATCTAAAGTATGGGATTGAGATTGAGATGTTGGAGCCTGCTTGGCATTCTTTGACGTGATAATTGTAAAGGATGGACCATTAGAATATAGAATTGCAGTGAATATATCTGAACTATTAACAGCCATCCTTGTATATGTACCAGGAACATCTATCTTCCAAAGTATTCGTGAGTTTTTCGCTTGATCTTCAGCTTCATACGGCCAAAAATCGATACTATAAATTGTATTTGGTTCTGCAAAGCCTAAAACGATTTTACGGGACCATTGAAGCTCCGATACATACTGAGCTTCAGATACTTGACGAGTGATTCCGAGTGTAAGACCTGATTCACAATCCCATAACAAAACTCTTCCGCAATCGTCTGAAATTGCAAGATAAGGTAGCTCATAGTGGAATTTAAGGCAAGTTATGTTAGAATTTAGAATTTCAATGGATCATAAGAAAGAAATATCATTTTTAGTAGTTTTATAGAGATAAATTGTGCCTTTACCGGCTAATGCAAGTAGCCCACATGCTTCCCAGTCCATGCTCCCTGTGTTGAACACTTTACTAGGTGGACAAAGTGAAGCAAATCGTATCTTAGCTTTATTAAAAGGATTCGCTTGCATTTTTTTTATAAATTGATATCGTCAAAAATTTTAATTCTACAATGTTTTAAATATATTAATATTTAGTTGTACAGAATCAAATCACATCTACTTGAAAAAAAAAAGGTAGTGGGGCTTCCAGGCGCGTTGCGCCCTCTAGCCCCGAAGATGTTTAGTATAAAACCGCTTTTTAACTTCACTTAAAATGCCACGTAAGCTACGTAAGAATATACGTAAGAGGAAGGGAGCATTGAAACATCCAATAGTAAAACTGACACCACAACAACAGTTGCAACAACAAATGCTGAATGACCCCACTATGTTGCAACAAATGTCAAGCAACCCTATGCTTTTAAACCGAGTTATTGGTGCACAGAGTGGAGGTTTAAGAGCGGCACTTTTAGCGAAAATGGCAGGCTATGGTGGAGCTGCAGACGGAACAGCTTATAACCCTCAAAGTCAAATGAATTTGAGTTCACTCAAAAATCAAATAACAGATGTCAAAAAGTCAAACATAGACATACAGAAACAAATAAGTGAAAACGAAAAGAAACTAGAATATGACAGACACACAAAGAAACTCAATGAGTTAAACGTAGAGAAAAAGAAGAAAGAAGAACAACTGAAAGAACTAAGTACAGAGGAATATGCGAAAAAAGTGTCAGAAAAAGCAGCAGAAGTAGCAAAAATGGAACAAGATGTTATAAATTTGAAAAACCATACTACTCAATATAAAGTACTGAAAGATGAAGAAATAAAACAAAAAGCCCTGAAGACATATATGGATAGCGATGAGTATAAAAAAGAAGTTGAAGCAAATGTAAAGGCAGAAAAACTTTTACAGTTGCAAAACCAAACCGTACAGTATGAAAACTTAGCACAAGAAAGTAAAAATAACGACGCAGCCATGCAAAAGGCAATGAAAAGCGCAGAATATATAAAAGCTAATAATGACTGGTTAGACGCCCAAGCCAACGCTAAAGCAGCCCAACTTATAGGGTCAATAAGGACAAAAATACAAGCGGATGAAGACAGTTCAAATGAAGCTTTAACGAATGCTGACTTTAAGAACGCCTTCGAAGCTCTTCATAGTAAGGTGAAACTAGTGAACGACTTCTCATCTGGAAAGAAACTGAAGTCTGAAGGTTTCGACAAAGAGTTAAAAGAAGTAGCACAAAATATGACGAAAATAACAGATGCAGCAACGAGACAGGCAGTTCAAAGTGCCCATGACGCCGTTAGAACAGCTGTTGTGGAAAGTCAAGAAAAAGAGTTACAACAGACCAAAAGAGACCTAGTAAATGCTTTCTTAAGAACGAAAAGTCAGGTAGGACATTATGCTGCAGATGGAACATATGTGCCAGCTGGTGGAACTTATATACCAGCTGGTGGAACTTATATACTAGCTAGTGGAACTTATATACCACCAAACCCTCCAAGAGAAGCACCTGCACCAGGACTACCTAAAACATTTACATCGTCACATGGACACAGACACAGGCATGCACCAAAACCAACACAACAACCAACAGTTCAAAATCCAGCACCACAACAACAACAACAACCAGCACAACAACCACCTCCACAACCAGCACAGCAACCAACAGTTCAAAACCCTGCACAACAACCACCTCCACAACCAGCACAGCAACCAACAGTTCAAAACCCTGCACAACAACCACCTCCACAACCAGCACAACAACCACAAACAGAGCAAGGACATAAAAGAAGTAGAGAACAAGGAAACCAAGATTTCTTAAAAATGCTTAAGGAAGAATATGGTTACCCAGATACTCTTGACTTTAGTGACAGATATAAAGAAGCTATTAGAAAGTTCAAGGAAGGAAATACAGACCCGAACCTATTTAGCTTTATGGTTCAGCACCAAATGGGATATAATTTCAAACCTGGAAAATACAAGCTCGCTAAGGGATATGATTTAATAGCATATCATCCAAATGACATGAACGAATTTACTCCGAGATATTTGGTGTCAGAGCTAAATGACAATTCAACTCTCTTCATGAAACGCGTAAAAAATAGAGACGGAACGAAAGAAGAAAGGTTTATGAGTCCGGATGACTTAGATAGGGAACTTTTTAAAAACGGTCTCGGAATATATGAAATGCCAGCAGATGAGGTACAAGAAACTCAACAGGAAGAAGTTCAGATACAACCAGACATGGAAGAAATAGTTCAGCAACAACAGCTAGAAGAGCCTGAAGGAAACGAACAAGTCCCTCCTTTGGAAACTAACCTCACAGAACTAGATGAAGATTTGGAACAGCCGAAAAATCTTGACCCTCAACAAGAGTATGAGGTGAATATGGAATCTTTCCAAGAGTCTAAAAAAAATTCGGCTGACATAGTAGAAGAATATCGAAAAATGTTTGCCGACATACAAAAGACTCCAACATCAGATGAAAATATTCAGCATAGAATGGAAGTACTGAAAGATAATGTACGCAAATACAACAATCCTTTTTACTTACGACCATATAACGTTCAATCTTTGGCTGAACTCGGTGAAAATAAAAGGTTAAATTTCAACAAAACATATAGAAATGAAACATTGTTTAAAGTTCATTCAGAACCTAACCAATATGGAAACAAACCTACTTTTGTTTCTGCAGACTATGGAACTACAATGAGATGGGGTCATAAAGCTAATCCGGATAGGTGGTTCATAAACTTACAACCACAATTCCAAGAAGTTGTAGACGCAATGGAAGTGAATGGTGAACCAGATATAGCTGGTATTTTCAGCGCGGCTTTAATGCCATTGAAAGATATGAAAGATGCAGATATTTTGAACCAGTATGAAATGAACATGGCTGATGGAAATATAACACCTGACGTTCTAAAACATTTATCTCAAAGAACTACACAGAACCATAGAGATGGTATATTTGGTGAAGAGTTTAGAAAGACAGTTAGGGAGAGAGAAGGAAGAGAACCTATTGTACATGACCTTGCAAACGAAAGTTTACAAAATGTCATAAAAACTTACTTTGCAGACAATGAACCGAGAAGGGATGAATATTTAAGAAAACTCAAATGGACAGTACCAAATGAAATGTTAGTATTGAAAAACATGTTCCTTGACAAAATAAAACCAACTACAGAAATAAATGACGAAAGACTGAAACATTGGGTAAAAGCTTTCCCATTCACAAAAGATATTATTGGTAACATGGAAAGAAAACCAGAATGGCTACAAAAACATATATTTGGAAACGAGCTTATTCCATATGGACAAGCTCTGTTTGAAGAGCTTGAACCGGAAACTCAGGAAAGAGTCATGCAAACAATACGCGAAGACTCAAATACAAACTATGACAAAATCTTTCTAGGATATAGGTTACCTGAGATGGGCGACCAGAGCCCAAAGGCAAAAAGGACATGGGAAATTTACAACATACTAGGTGAACATGAGGCAAAGATGCAACAACTTGAAGCAGAGGGCAAGTTACCAAAAGCGACACCAAAGAAGAAGAGAAGAGTAGAACAAAGTGAAAGTAGTGAAGAAGTAACTTCATCTAGTGAAAGTAGTGGCAATGAAGGAAAAAGAAGAGTTAAAAACTCAGTCAGGAAGAAAGTAAAGCTTGGTCCGAGTGGGTTCTATTATGACATATAAATCCAACTATTCTATATTTTTACCCATATGAAATGTACGCCGCTCAGAATATAACGCCAACAGTTTTGGATGCCATGAATGGAAATGTTTCCGAATGGTATAACGAATGCGACAATGCCATTAGAAGGTCAGAAATAGTTCCTGGAACTTACGAATATACAACTGCTGTTTCTTATGGAAACGTAGGTGAGTTTGGAGAAGGTTCTTCAACAACAGTAGATATTGCTTGCGACAGGTTTCATATTATTTCTATTGACAACTCTTTCTTATACGTGGAACAAGACATTGAAATAAAACCTTCTGCCAAGTTGTCTGAAAAGAAAGGTTGCAATGGAATTTTCTATGTCGGATACCAATATGCTCCAGAAGTTTTCATGGGATATAAGATATATTCTAACTCTGACTTAGTTCAAACAGTAACATGGGCAAACTATGAATGGTTCGCTTTAAGAAACTCAGTACAACCACAAGCTAGAGAACAAACAGACCAGTATGCAACTATTGAGAAAATAAGAAGACTTGACCCTAACGTTCCAGGAGTTTATGTTAACCTTTCTGGTTCAGATGGAACTGCTGCCACTAAAGTAAAACTGAAACTTAGAGTTCCTTTGTCATCTTTCCTCATCTTCAGGTTTTTAAGATACTTGCCAAACTGGGCAGGAAAAATTTCTATCGAACTTACTCCAAGCAAAAATAACTTAGTCATTGCACCAACACAAGACCCATTCACTCTTACAGACGTAAAGGGAACAAATAAAACGTCATTCGCCGAATTTTGCAAAGACAAAGTTGACTTAGACTTTGGTTTCTCAAACCTCAACACTGAAGTAAACTATTATTTCAATGCTGCTGGAGATGCTTGGGACCCAGTTAAGTTCACATGCGAAAAATTTGAATGCAAGAGAATAGAAAGCAGACTTGCAGTCTATATGTTGGACCCAGATATTTCAAATGCTTTAGCTGCCAAATATATTGCAGTTCCACTTATGTTCCCTATACACCAAATATCTGTCAAAGACTTTGCAGGTGAAGTTGGAAACCAAAGTGCTGACCCAGGTGCAAGAACAGATATTGCCTTAACAACTGCAATGAAACATGCAGATACTATGTTTGTTCTTTTCAGACGAACTATAAATGACTATTCTTGTTTCTACAACCCTGGTATTAAATATCATATAAACATAGATGGCAAATATTATCCAAGAGAAGAATATTCTACAGTTGAGGATATGAGGTCATACAACTTGACATTAGATGCTATGAACTTTAACAACAACTTCACAACAACCATTAACCCTGAAATGCAAAGTTCTATTATGCCATATGTGAAAGTATGGACCCATACAGGAGGTCAAAAAACTCAATATACAAATGGAGACCGTTCAAACTTTTGGCTTGGCATTCCATTTGCTGACTCAGAAGACTTTATGGGTGGTATTTCAACTGTTGGTACAGTTCAAATACAATATACTGGTGACAGAGACGGTCCAGATGAATTGAAAGCAAAGAAGTTTACAAAACCAATAGCACTTTTCACGGAAGATGCTCTTTTGAAAATTCGTTCGATGAAACCTGCTGGGGCTCCTCAGATTGGCATAACGACAGCTTCCATCGAGCAGATTTTGGCAGCAGGTCAGTAAGTTGTTCTTGAACTGACTTCTCTCCGTCAAATATTGACAGTACGCCAGTTTTGACATAATATTGTATTATAAACTTTCCTTTAGAAATATCTGTAAGTTTTGAAGTTATATTTTTGTCTGCTTCAAGAACTTTCACCATTTCAGTTATACCAACTTTCTTTGCTTTATGAAAATATTTAGGTTCAGCAAAGACTGCTATTCTATAACATTTTCCATTGTTTGTGTAAAGAACTATTCTGTCAATGTATTTGTATTGTTTGTGTGTGTAAACTTTGTTTTGCTTCAATTCGAAGAGATATCTGAATACGTCCATCTTTTTATTCTAAGTAAAATGTCATTTCCGAAAAATAGAAGTGTAAGTGTTTCAAAAGGTTTAATGGCGGTGGCAGATGTGAAGTTAAATTCACCAACTCAAACAAACAGTCAAAGTGTTGTTGTCAATGTCAAAGACAGAGATGTTGAAGTGGGGAAACCATACGAAGACGAAGATGGTATAACAATAGTTCCTGTAAAAGAACAACCAACATATCCTGAAGTTAGCAGAGACTTAAGTTCTGTTGCAGATATTCGAAACGACTACCAACAACTGAAAGACAAACTTAAAACTCAGGAGAAGATTTGTCAAGCTTTAAGTATAATGTTAAACTTGGTCGAACACAACCCTGTAAAAGTGAACTCATATGTCATTGCACCTCATGAAGTTTTGAAAGAACTATTGAAACTTTTGACAGAGGCAGACGATATAAACATCAAAGAAATAGAACCCGACATTAGTTGCTGTGGTGTTTCATATAATGTCATTGACAAGATATACGTTATGAAAGGAGGTGAAACGTTGAACTTAAAATATAGTTTCCCAGACGTTATAAAAATATTTGACGACCACAACATTTCATTAAAATTTATTTGCTAAGTAAATGGCAGAAGACATAATGGTTTATACTATTACGACTAAAAACCCTGAGTCATATAATTCTATAACAACAAACTTACAAAGTCCTCAAGGACGATA